AGGGAACAAACTGTAAGCCTGTATCAGAAACGGGGCAGCTCTTAGGAATGAGCTAGTCTTTCATTCTCTCATCATAGACACTCTGTCTTTCTCCTTTTGCATTTTCTTCTCTTAAAAACAGCATTTTATGATTACTGAGAATATCTGTTTCCTCTAAATTCAGGCTTGTCCTTCACCTTGACCTGTCCCAGCCTCCGAATGGCTGACTATACCTCAGGTACCTCTCCTGATGCCTCCTTACTCCTTTACCCCCCCTTTCCTCTCTTTGCTAATTTCAGCTCCCCAAGAGGACTGATCCAGATTATCTTCTTGCACCATCCTCCCCAGCCCTGAGTCAGAGTTCTAGGTCCAGCTCGGGGTCCAGCTGCCTTTGAGTCCAGTGGTTCTCCTCCGCGCTGTGGCTGGGTGATGAAAATCTGGCCACACCCTTGCTTAGCTGGGCTGAAGGTGGGGCCTGAGTGGGTCCTGACGCAGCAGATTAGGGAGAATGCTCCCTTCCTGAGAATAACAGTTGGCCAAACAAAGCATGTCCTTTGAAACTCAGGTTTTTTTGGCAGAAGTTTCCTGGGTAGGCACTCTCCCAAAGGTTGTTTTTATACCCTTTCTAGGGGCACAGCCCTTTGGGTTTTTAAAGCTTTTTTTTTTTTTTAATGTACTAATGATAGACTCCATTGGAAATTCACTGCCTTGGTCAGTGAGTCCAATCCCATGGAATGACAGCCATGTATTTGTGAGAAGGTAGGTTAGAAGGACAGTGTTCTGAGCGAGAATATTTTTGTTTGTTTGGTGCAGTCAACGGCTTGGTTGACACAAAAGATTTTATGTTCTTAAAACAGGCAGTTGCAGCAAAGAAAATCCTCTCAGATTGCTGTGGCTTTCCTATGTGAACCGTTGGTTATGGTGCACACCAATGTTCATGGTGTCCAGCTGATAATGAGATGGGCCCTCTGCTCAGTTATTGGTGCAACTCAGACAGGAGAACAGTTATAAATTCTCCACGACTTCTTCATGGCTGGTTTTGGGCTCGACAGACATGCGGGATAAGCACATGGTCATCCAAGGCTTGCTCCAGGTCAAACAGTAAACATGGCAGGTTTTTTGTTTGTTTTTGTTTTTGTTTTTTACCTTTAGCAGCTCATCTAGAGCAGAGATCTTCAAGATGAGGTACATACACCCTCAGGACACAAATAGATTCCTAACAGTTGTGTAGGCATCTTGGAAAATTAGGTAAAGGAATCAATTTTTAGATTCTCAACTGCTATAGATACTCGTTCTTAAGAATTGTTCAATCTGAAAATGGGCCTTTGATTCAGGTTCTCACCAACCCCTTCATAATTTTCCTTCTGCTACTTTACACCAGAGAGGCACAACCCCACCCTGACCTTCCCAAGTGTTACCACCCTGCTTTGCCCCAAAGACAAGAACTGTTTGCAGGCCAGATACTGGGCAGTGTAAAGGCAGGTGCTGAGAACAGAGAGTACTCTACCTCTCAGGCTCCACATCCCAGGGCCAGGTGGTTCCCAACTTTTTGCTTTCATCACATTTGAGGGAAGATTTATCAGATAGATCACTCAAAATGATTCTTGATGATGAATTCTATGTTGCTTTTGGTATACAACTCAGGAGAAGTTCAAAGCATTGAGTGATATATAGAACAAATTCCTTCCATTCACAACTTGTTTTTTCTGTGAATAGGTTTATTAGAATTTACAGTTTTAAGACACTAAAATGGAAGCAGGACTGTTGCTTGATCATTTCTTGACCAGATCTCCTTATTGATCTGGGCTAAATAAACTATTTGAGAAACCAAAAAGCCCAATTCATTCATTGTCAACTACATTTCCAGTAAAATTTCATTTGTAATGTGTTTAATAATTATTTATCAAAATTTAAATTTACTTGGTTTTGGTGGATTATATACTACTTCTCATCATAATGACAAATAAATTCAGGTGAAAAAAATTTAAGACTTAGAGATTTGTGATCATAGAAAATAAAAAGTATTTAATTTATATACATATTTTTGTTGCAGAGAAGTATGCTAGGGTGATCAATATAAGATTTTCAAGTATAAAAATATATTGCACTACGATATATGTAGGGGAGTGGAATGGAAATATGAATTCAAGAAGAAAAATGATGTAAAATTTCTAGCTATTAAAGAACTTGTGTGCATGAATTTTAAACTCATGGTGGTGAGAACCATCCTTTATGATGGTTATGATGGTCCATTAGCTACATTTAAAATAGTGCTGTAGGTCACCTGGGTGGCTCAGTCGGTTGAGCATCCATCTCTTGACTATTGAGTGTCCCCTCAGGTCATAATCTCAGGATCGTAAGATTGAGCCCTGCGTTGGACTCTGTGCACAGTGGGGCTTCCCCTTGAGATTCTCCCTTCCTCTCCCTCTGCCCTCTCCCACTCATTCTCTGTCTCTCTTGCTCTCTCTCAAATCAATCAATCAGTCTTTTAAAAAATTTTAAAAAATAGTGCTGCAACTGTTGTTATTTTCTAGGTACCATGTACAATGTTCCAAATCATACTTTGCAACTATTTAAAGAGGAAATGAAAGTTTTTAGAGGTTAACTTGTAAAAAAAGAAGAGGGGGTGTGCATAATTTAAAAACCATTCCTAGGGGAGTATGAGAGCAGACATCTGCAGGCTATCATGCTTAGGTGTCTACTGTGAGAAGAGATACATATTGGAATCAAAAAACCCCAATTCTACCATTTATTAGCTCTGTGACTTTGCACCAGTTACTTAAATGGACCTAATTTGGTTTTATTTTACAACAGAATCAATACTTTCCTTACTAAATTGTGGGTGAAGTAAGTGACTTGATGTGCGCAGCACTCTTAGCAGAGGGTCCCGGATGTCATCAGCATCACTATCTCTCTGCTTCCCCCAAGGCTGTATGAAACCCCTTTCCATCTCTCTCTTTCTCCTTTCCTCCATCAACCCATGTGTACTGGCCTCATCTTATATCCTCTATTAAATATATTTGGTTCACATTCGAAAGGTCCCAAAGTATCTTCTGTAAATCCATTCATCCAACAAATATATATATATATATATATATATATATATATATATAAATATATGCACTAACTCTATTCCAGGCACTATTATGGCATTGGGGATAACTGTGAATAAAAAAAGATAAAATCCCTATTGTCACAGGGCTTACTAAGTGCACAGTGATGAGGATGCATTGGCGGCTCCCAATCAGCAAGGTCTTTTTATTCATGAGAGACTAGTTAGATTTCTGCGGATTGGTCCATCTGTCCACCCACCCATGCATCCAGCCGGCCAGCCATTCAATTACAAAATGTATTGAGAAACTCCTAAGTGTTAGGGCCATGATCAGGCATTCTTGTTCTGAAAGTGACCACTATAACACTCTATTTTAATAAAATCCCTTTTTGTACACCCTTTATCACAATATGTGTGGAGATTAACTGCATCATGTGTCTGTCTGGGGGTTAAATGCAAATGTCCCTGGTTTTCTTTAATTTTTGACTGTTTCCTATTTGTTTAAAATAACGAGTACTTTTGAATGATTCAAGCCAGTTTGTGTATTCCTTCCAAATAAATAATTTGTTTTATTGAGACTTTCTCCCAGAATGCAGCTTCAAGAAGTATTTCAAATGATGCATTTGGGGATAGGAAATGATCTGGGCACTCAGAGTGACTCTGCTTCTACTTGGTTTTCAAACTGTATCATGGAATGTGGTTCTACCACCTACTTGGAGAACTAGTTTCCTGTAAATACAGCATTGAGTTAGTTTATCCAGATTTTATCCAGAAATTTAAAAATAGCTCCACACTCCCAGTTTTCCTCTCTCTACCCAATTCTCATTGGTACAGGTCCTCAGAGAAGCCAGAGTTTTTAAGATGAGGCCTTTCAGTTTCAAGACACTTCAATTTCAAGACATTCCTTTAAGCCAGAGATCTTTTATCAAAGATACAGAGTGCTTGGAGTCAAATTATTTTTTCTTTTTTTATTGAGATAAAGTTCACAAAATAAAATTCACTGTTTGAACCCTTTTAAAGTTTATAATTCAGTGGTTTTTTAGTATATTCATAATGTTGCACAACCATCACCACTAATTCCAGAACATTCCATCACCTCAAGAAGAAACCTTGTACCTCCCAATTCTCTCCTCCTCCAACCCCTAACAATTACTACTCTATTTTCTGTCTTCATGGATTTGCTTATTCTGGGTTTTTCATATACATGATACCATGTAATATGTGACTTCTTTCACTTACTATAATGTTTTAAAGGTTCATCTGTTCTTCATTCGTTTTTATGGCCAAATCCATTGTGTGGATGTAGCACATTTTGCTTGCCCATTCATCAGTTGATGGACATTTGGACATTTTTGGCTACTATGAATATTTATATAAAAGTTTATGCATGAACATAGTGTCAGTTCTCATGGTACATACCTAGGAGTGGAATTGCTAGATCATATGGTAATTCTGTGTTTAACTTTTTGAGGAACTGCCAAAATGTTTTCCATAGCAGTTGTACCATTTTACATAAAAATATTTTTATATGTATTTGCTGTTTGTGTGCAAAGTGTGTCTTTCTATACTAAAGGGTTCCTTTCCTAGTTTCAAAAAGTAAAAAACAAAACCAAAAAAACTCACTTAAGTGAATTTTAACTTGGATTTTCAAGGGCAATGTTAGGTAGTAGAAAATACCACGTAACAAAATGAAACAATAATTTTTATATGAGCATGATTTACACCTCTCTTTCATTTCTCAAAAATATATTTATGACATAAACAACTGGAAATTATTTTTATTTCTAAGAATGAAATTGATATTTATTCAGTTTAATCATCACTAAGATTCTTATAAGGAAATTGAATTCCCCTTTTAGGAAATATTTCCATTACTATGAATGATGAAAGTCATTGTTTTCAACATTATAATGCATTTTGTGTTTTAAGAGATATACTTATATTTAACATATATAAACTTTAAACCCAGGGCATAGAACCTCTCTTATAAGTCAGAGTCTTCTGGAAGAGAAGAGAAACCTGACAGAATTTTTTTTAAGTACCAAGACTTGAAGTAATCCACGCACATGGCGTCGATAAGGTGCTCATTCAGGTGGATCAAGCCCTTGGCCGCAGATCCCTGGTGAGTGTCCTTAGTGCGATCACTTGCTTTTATTCAGTAATTTCTCCTAAACGTTGGTTTTTATAGTTATGAATTGTCTGAGTGTTTCATGTGTCAAAAAGCCAAATTGTTCCAGAAATCTATGCATTGTGACTGCTTTTTTTTGTGATTCATTTTTATTAAACACCAATTCTCTCTACTCTCCTTGAGTTACACTCACATCATCACCAATGGGAAAGACACTCATCTAAAGGCTGTGGATTCTTGCTCTATTACCAGGTTTGAAGAGCAAATCCTTCCTAATGTCAGAGCAGCAGGGGCCCTCTAACTAGCAGAGTTAGGACAGGGTGCTTCACGAGTACGGTAGGCGGGATAACAGCCCCTGAGGAGGTCCACATCTTAATCCCTGGATCCTGAGAATATGTTCTGTTACATGGCAACAGGGAATCATGCCTGTGGATGACATTAAGTTTGCTCATCAGCTGACCTTGGGGAGATTATTCTGGATTATCTGGGTGGGCCCAGTATAATCACAAGGTCCTTAAAAGTGAAAGAGGCAGAAGGAGAGTGAGAGGCAAAGGAGATGGGACAACGGAAGCAGAGGTCAGAGGCATAGACACACTCGACTGGCCATTGCTGGCTCTGAAGATGGGGGAGACCATCTGAACTACTTAACTCTTCCCTAACTGGTTCATGTTATTTTCCTTCCCTTCCAAACCATCTCCCCAGTCCAGATAGCTTTTCTTCCCTCCTCCCTCCTTCCAGCTGCTTCCACTTCATGTCATTCAGGGTACACTGGTCTTTGCACTGTCTCTGAGCGCAGCTGCCTCCTTCCCTCAATCCTCTGCATTTCATTCAGAGAGTCGTCTCCCTGCCCCCGGCTACCCATCTGGCTCTCGCCTTCAGAGTGTCCCCAGGGTCCCAGGCACAGTGAGGATCCCATTAAAGGGCTGTGAGTACTTCTTGACTGATTAGCAAGAGGGAAGGTAATGATGACAGCCAGAGAGAGGATGTCACTGTCGCTGTCACTGATGACAGCGGCCTATTAGAAATAAAAAGAAGCTTTCTGGGATTTATTCCTTTGTTCTTTCTCTTTTTAGTTTGTTTTGCATGAAAATGAACAGTTTAAATTAATCTGCATTTTTGCTGTTTCATAGGTCACTTATACTTATCCTCTATTCTGTACAACACGCATATGGGGTAAGTACATTAATTAGCTCCGACTGCATGCATTACTCTCGTTATAAACCTGTTTGTTTCAAGCAAGCCACTCTGTGGGACTCAGTTTTCTTATCTGCAAAGTGAAGGGTTGGATTAGGTGAACTCTGAGGTTTCTTTTCTATTTTACAGTCAAGACTGTTTAAAAAATTGCCCAGGTGTTGGAGATTTCTTTATTTGATAACATAATCTTTTGTTAAAATCTTTTTTCTGGAGAGGGGCAGGAAGCAGTTGGGCCACTTCAAGATTAAATCAAGAAATATAAAGATTAAATATGAACATTTTAACTCTGGAGAAAGATAAGCCTAGAATATTCTGTAATAAGATCTCCTTCTTCTGCTTCCTCACTGAGGAATCTCAGTTATTAAACCCAACCCCAGACATTTCTGGGAAATTACACCACAGACCGCCTGTAACTTAGGTAGATCTTGAGACAACGGAACTGGTTCAATCACTATTGAGCACATCTGTGTCTGTCCATCCTCTCTAGCTTGGATTTACCCAGTCCAATTTCTGTATTATTTAAGTTAATAACATAGGTCTTTTCAAAGCAAATCAAAATAGAAAGTTGCCTTCTATTCTCCTTTTCCTACCAGTCAGGAACAGAAAGTACACATGTCAGGGAATGAGAAGCTCTCCCCAAGTAGGGATAGTCAGACTTGCTCCACTTAGTTCACATGCATTTGAGAGCATCATCTGAAATAAGGAATGGAAACACATTGAAATATATATGCCTGGATTTTTTTTTTATTTTTTCCAAGTTTATTTCTGTATTATATTCTTTATTTTCTCCCATTATAAGAGTCTAGAGAGTCTTAAATTTCACTTTCTTTGTTTCTTTTTTAAAAATTTTTTATTGTTATGTTAATCATCATATATTACATCATTAGTTTTTGATGTAGTGTCCCATGATTCATTGTTTGTGCATAACACCCAGTGCTCCACGCAGAACGTGCCCTCTTTAATACCCATCACCAGGCTAACCCATCCCCCCACCCCCCTCCCCTCTAGAACCCTCAGTTTGTTTTTCAGAGTCCATCGTCTCTCATGGTTCATCTCTCCCTCTGACTTACTCCCCTTCATTCTTTCCCTCCTGCTATCTTCTTTTTCTTTTTTCTTAACATATGTT